AAAAAAAAAAAAAAAAAAACGACCAAATATCCAAATGGTCGCCGCCTTCGATGCAACACACTTTAATCTAATATATGGTTAAGATGCTGTGCTTTTTCTCTTTTCGGCTCCGGAGCCCGGCAGATGACAACAGCCACCGTGGCGATTATATTCGTATTCGTAATTGCCCAAGCCACAGGATTTGGAGAGTTTATCAAGTTGATACTCTTTGTACTATATGATGTCGTGAAGTCGGGTGTTGCCTTTACCTTCCTCAACAAATACTAAATCAAAAGGAAAGAAGAAAGAGAAGCCGATAACCCCCACGTCAATGAATCTGATAGGATAGGGCTAATGTCAGTCGACTATACAGGATAGGTAATCTATAACTCAAAAAAGTGCACACTAGCTCGACCAAACTACTCCGGAGTACAATGGAACTGGAAGGTGTTCGGACTTCAACTCCAACTCCTATAATTTGTCCACCTGAAACTAGCCATGAAACAGGGATCTTAGCTGTGTGCACAGAGCGAACATCAACCTAAAATAAATTATCCGCCCGTGATGGTGGCCTCTTTGGGTAACTCCTCGATGGGACTCCAATATAGTATCGAATTTAGACACCTGCCTAGCTGAGAATTCAAACCCACCTGCATGTTCATCGCCCACGGCTAGTGGCGGGCTCATTTAATCCATTCCCCTCCCCTCTCCTCCGACAGGTCCTTTGTATCTGTACGATGATGTATGTCAATACATAGTCTAGCACCTAATCGTAATCAAACTATTAGAAGCTTGACGAATCTTATCCAACCCCGAAGAGGAAGGGTACTTTATTAGAAACAGAAAAACAAAACCAAAACCAACCCATTGAAGATGCCTTAACTTTACGAGCATAGAGGTTTTTTTTTTTTTTTTCTTGTTTTCTTTGTTTTTTAGACCTTGATTCGGCGAGGCAAGGTGAGCAGTCATATGCAACCCAATGCCACGTAAGGCACAGACCGGAAAACCCGGCTGTTTTACCCATCATTTAACCATATTGACGATTCTCTCATAAGGCTTTCCTTCTTGGATTGCTAATACTGTGATGCGGACTACGGATACCATAGTCGCGGAAGTTATTGTCCAGTCACGTTGATCGGAGTCGCAGATAAAGTTGGCGGGCGCAGTCGAAGGATCGAGCTTTGGCCTTGCTTATTTACCATACATAGTACGGATTGGGAGGCTTGTGCTGTACATCAGCTTGCTCTTGTACATATATAATGAGATATGAGATGTATGACTGGGCTTTTCCTTTTCCTTATATTTTTAATTTTGTTAATTCCTTTTTTTTTTTTTTTTTTTTTTTTTTTTTATATTTTTTTTTTTTTTTTTTTTTTTTTTTTTTTTTTATTTTTTTTTTTTTTTTTTTTTTTTTTTTTTTTTGTTTAAAAAAAAATTAATTTTTCAAAGGATTTTAGAATGAGAATCAATGCATGAATAACCCGAGGTTACTTCTACACAGCCTACCCTAACCTATTTCTGTTCTGTGACGAATATGATTGATTGATCTGATATTGGTTGGTTGCCCCATTCAACATTGAACATCCGGCACTGCCGCTCAGGCTACCATAAAACCGAGGTCCCCATAAGCCAAAGAAAAACTAATAATTAATTATAATAATCAAAAATAACATCGCCTAATCAACTTGTATGCAAGTTACAATGACGCTGGTGCTCACGATAAGCGTATCGCCAGCAACGTCAGTTGAATGGTAACCAATTCTCTTGGCTCCTTGGCCGGTCCACTTAGAGACGACGAGATTACTTAAAGCCAAGCAGCGTCGGCGAGGGTGGTTGGGAGTCAGGAGAACAGGTGTCGCTTTGCAGCTGATGTCTCACATGGCTGAACGGTGAAAACAAGTAGTTAATTCAAGCATAAAATTTGTAATACGGCTAGGCGTGAAGGAGAGGTCACCTCAATCACATCTGCACTGAGAGTGATGATGCTGATCATTGCAGGTCAAGCCTAGGGTTTTGCAGCAGATTGTGTAGCCCTAAGCAGTAATGGTGGACATGCCACAGCAGCGTTGCACGGTAGCTTTTGTAAGAGCCACCAACAAACTCTTATTTATCAGTTCCTCTCGCGGGTATGGCGGCGGAGCGTACATATCACCTGCAGAATGCCTGTCGATACTCTGAGAGAGTGACGGTCCAAGCAAGGTACATCCGGTACCGACACGGACTGATATCACACTTCCTCGTCGCGGGCGGTGGTACAAAGCACAAAGGCTTCGATACTTCGGTGCTACTTACACCCTTCCAGCAAGATAATCCTAGCACGTCGTTGTGATAGGGGGTTGACGGTCGTCCGGGATTCCACCTGGTTCACTCCGTTGATTTAGCCTGAGCCTCGCGAGAGCATCCCTGCAAGTATGTGCCACACTATCAGCCAACAAAGACAACTAAGCTTTGTCCCCCTCGAATGTAACTCAGCTCTACACTAAGCTACGGTGCCATGGTCAATATTAATATGAGAGTTATTACTATCTCCTGTCCGGACTTGAGTACCTGGGAGGATAGGGTTGTTAGGTATGTATGGGTAGTATTGTACACTGTTACGGGACCGATCGGACTTAACACATGATTCAAGTGCCGATGAAGCCGAGACTATTCAGGACTTAAATGACTAAATTACTACCATACTACCTAGGTAACTAGGGACATCCACGATTTTAGCATCATCCACCCAGTCGTACATGGTATACTTAGGTGCAGCCTGGAGGACATACCTTCGTTCACCCCTGATCCTCTCGCAACTTTTCCCCCTTGAGGATCCCCTTGCTTCCTATCAGGTTGCACGAGGATTTAGTCACACCCATCTGAGACCTGTAGATAGCATTTAATGCATGCCACTGCAATGCAACCCTTGATTGGAATCAAAGTTGCCAAGCAGGCCTGTGTGTGAAACGTTGCACGGGTTTATCTCCACTAGCATAATCAGTTTAAGGTAAGGTCAAATAGTCCTCTACCTGAGAAGCTCGACTTTCTTTCATTCACAATTCAGTTCCTTATTCGCTCAGAGCATGGAGAGAGGGGGGGGAGGGATTTCCACAATTGCCCGGGGAGGGAGATTTGTGCGGTGTTTGGTGCGCGCGCGCGCGTGTGTGTGTAATCTAAACCGAGTAATTCCCTCCCCAATAAACCTGAAATCAGGAATGCATGGGAATCCCTCTTCCTGTCACCGTGACTGGTTACTTTCGGGGTAGTTGTAGATCAACTGCCCGACATAGATAACTTTGAGAGGATCATCCCCTCATTCCTATTTGCATGATGATCGATCACAGATAGTCTGTTGAATTAGGTTAAGGTACGGAAGAAGATAGTTTCGTCTATCCCACCTGACTGGATTTTCATTATATGATACTCGATGTACTTTTTAATAGAATTATTTTCTTTTTTGCTTTCCGGATAGGAAGGACACAGTCCTCTGTACTCCGTCAGTAAAGACTACTACGGAGGAGGCCCCAGCTCTCGGCACCCACCGTTGCCACACTCTTAGTCCATATAGTCTCAAGAACTAGGTAACTAGTCCCCCCTAACAAAGAACAACCTACCAGAAATCCAGTCCAGTGAGATACAGTACAACCCCCCTTCCATAATTAAAAATCGAAAACAAGGCCCGAGGATCCCTATCCTGGCCCTAATACCAAGCGTCAAAGCGCTGCAGAGCCAAACCTATCCCCGCCGTCTAAACGAAGAGGGATGAGGACAAAAAAAAAAAAAAAAAAAAAAAAAAAAAAAAAAAAAAACACGAGAGTTTTTGACTGGATCCCCAACATTCAGATAGCCAAGGCTTAGCCTAGTGTGGCTGAAGGACTAATCCGACTAGTTTACCTCCGTTGTCTTGCCTCTTGTATTTCCGAGGGGATCCGCTGTTGTATCCATGCTTGCATGCATGTATGTATATGTACTGTACGTATGTATGTATGTATGTATGTACCTAGGTAAGTATGTACACCCAGAGGAGGGATTGAATTTAAATATTGAGAATTGAATGTACGGAGTATACCTGGGCGTATATATACATGTGTATAGTGTGCAGACCTTCCTGGGAATGATTGATATCATGTGGCTTGGTTTGGCTTTTTTTTATTAATAAAAATGAAGATGGGGAAGCTCGCTTCGTATTTGATGCGAAGTTGGTACTATATTGGATTGTGACGGCCTCCATTGTTATTAAAGACCGAGAAATACGGGAGTCTGATAGGCTTTTCCACGGATCGAACAGACCGATTAGGTAATTCACAGCGATCGGGAACATTGATTGATTGATTAATCAAGTGAAATTAAAATGAACCCAGAAGAAGGTTTTCATAAAAACTCGTTTTCACCCAGCATTGTGTACATCAAAGTGTACAAGTGGCCTCAACAAGGACAGGCAAAAGGCAAGGAAAGAATAAAATATGACTCAGCATGCCGAGGATTAGCCATGATACGTCCGATACGAGGGAAATACGAGCCCACCGGCACTTCTAGGCAGTGTCATCGCCAACGGACGCCGGAAAAAGGCCGACATGATATGCTTAACACCAGTAAGGTTGGCAACTTGGCAGTTTTCCCCGCGTGCGATCCTCCGCAGCATTACCTATGAACTTGGACGGAATTTCCGGACAATCGGAATGTTTCGTTTCGTAATCTAGGGGGAAGGAAGGAAGAATATGGCCCTTGTCGGAGTTCGAATATAAAAGTTTTCCAGTGGAAAACATGCTGGTCAGGATGTAACAAGGAATAATGGTGGAATATGTTGAGTGCATACTAAAGAGAACAAGATATCCCTTCTCACCTCTTCCCAATTTCAGCAAATGGAGTCTCAGACCAGTTGAACCAAGTCGGACGTGATTCCTCGTCCGACCGTCGCCAAAGCGAGGTGGATCGTCGACAGCCCAATGGTATCGGGGCTCGTAGGCGAGGCTCCGCCCAGACCGCAGCTTGGAGGCATTAAAGTATCCGATGGAACCAGTCAGCATACGCCGGGTCTGGTGTTCCTGCTTCTTTTAGATAACGCTGTAATCCAGCGGTTAGGTAATATCTCTGTCTTATTGGATCCTCCGGACCTTCGCCTTTTTTTTCCGCCATAGCCGAGACCTGGCCCCAAGACTAGAGACACATGGATACCTCCAGTACAGTGAGGGAGAAGCGTCTGTGGGAGACACAGACCTTACACAAGAAGAGCTTCCAGAATCCGCAATCGAATGATGAAAAGAACTCCGGGTCCTCCGGATGATCCACTCAGGGGAAAATGTGGTTCATGATTCCTATTTTCTCTTCAATATATCCCTTTCCAGAATCGTATCGGACTCGATTCCGTCACCGCCGACGGGGTGGACTCCCCTTCATGTGTTGCCTTGTTCTGCCGAGTAGAGTTACATCCTCGTCCAGGGATGGGATGGGGCCAGAGGATTTTTCCTTTTTTTAATTTTTTTTTAATTTTTTTTTTAATTATTATTATTTTTTTTTTTTTTCACCACCACCCCCTTGGGCGCTGTTTTCGGACTTAGGAGGTCCGTTGGATACGTCGCTTCCTGCCGCAAGGGGTAACCTGAGCGATCGACTGACTCTAAACAAAAGAAAGTATTAGGGTTTTTGGACCGGTCCTAGTAATTGCCTTCCCGCTGAAGCTTGACATCACTGTACATACCACATCGAGACTCTGTTCAGGGTTCAGACGGAGGAACCTCCGTTCATGCATCCCCTTCGACATATACATTTTTGATTTTCTTTTACTTTTTTTTTGACTTTCTTTCATAGACATTCCTCACGTAGAGAGCAGGGGAGGGCTAGATCCTATTACGTTTCTCCCTCGATCTCTTCTTTGTGCCCTCTTCCCGAATCCACATGTGTCTCGGCGCTAAACAAAATTACAATGTAATAATAGTATGACTTGTGAACTATAACGTCCTCTTGTTATGCCCGACTCTAATTAAAGTAGCCAATCCCTGCTCCTCAACCCATGCCCTATACAAGTGGACTCCTCCCCGGTCCTCCTCCTGTATATCTAGTTAATTTATAGGGCTGTTAGCACTATACGTTATCGAAAGGGGTTCGTGAAAAGGATACAAAGTGGAGCTGTGTCAAATCTCGCTACGGCCCCGGTCTTGTTTCAAATTTATAGGGGAATCCATAGTGCCTTGGGCCAGTGATGGGGTATAAACAATGTCTCATATGTATTATCGCTATAGATGTAGTACTGTTTCCATGGTGGTCATGTCATGAGACTTGCTGCCGGTCGTATATGTAGGCGGGGATAGTATGCCGCTTAATTTGACTGCTAAATTGGGAAAGGAGATTTTGAATTTTGAAAGTTCGTGTTGCCTTTTAGTGGAGATGAGGGTATCTTAGCGTTTACATTGAATGATATTGAAGGAGCAACGTACACCCCTCATTAATATACATCTATATACTGTACCTGTGGGGGTGAAACTCCTTCGCACACCACTATCCATGGTCCAAAGAAGACGAATCTCAAGAGTATCTTGATATGTCAAGCTCGTATTGTTTGCAGAGGGCTGACGGTGTTCCCTCTTGAAAGTGCAATAGTAAACTTACAATATGTACAAGTACGGAACTATATTACCCTATAAAAATACATGCCTAGTGTTGAACTACAAGACTCCCCCTTGTTTATTGCATATACCTTACTCGTCGGCACAAGTAGTTCCCGTCGAGCTAGGCCTTCATCTGCGGGTCGCAAACGGGTTGCCAAGTGCAGGTGCATAGATTGGCACTAGTCGAAGAGTATCAAGGATTACAGTACCTTCCCTTCCATAAATCCAGACAGGATGTGACGAGTGTGTGCAATGGCGTCCGGGCACTGTCGATTTACAGAGTAGTCAGGTGATGGGATGCCCTGGGCATCTGTCTGACCTTGCTGGCATTAACCATACTACAGGGTAGTATGTACATGCATGAAATGCTGTGTCTCCATCTGTGATATCATCTGACCAAGTGTCATCTGCACAACGTTATTGATCTGGTAACCTGGTAGAACTTCTAGATCGTTTACACCGAGGATTTAAGAATGTGCGTTTTGGACACAATATCACTATAATCCTGATTTATTGATCGGGGATGTATCTTATGAGCTTCGACCTTATTGATATATATGAACTTCTCCATATCAAACAGGAAACAAGTTGGACGAGGTACATTGCCAGTGTGGGTAGGTCACTTTTGTTTGCAATATCCCTAGCTACGTGCGGCCGGATTATATCAAGTACCCTTTTTGACCTATTCCAGCCGCTGATAGATTCTCATCGTTGCCAAAGATATAGACATGGAAATGAAGGGCCGATAACAGCTCCCCGCACTAATTTGCTGAGCATACGCACCAGCACTACAGACAGATGCTCAACAAAGTCCCAGAAGAGCCAATGAAGCGCCTAAGAATGATACTTCCTGGTCTTCTACCGTATTCTCCATTACTGAGGCTCTTGGATCATCCCATAGCTGATTTAACTCGTTCTTGAACTCAATCGATTACAGCAACAGTGTGGGCAGTGACGAGTGTGAATCCACGCATACACCACCTTTGTTGCCCACAAATGTAGAAGAGTGCAATTCTCAAGCACGGTTTCTTCAACGGAACAATAGCCACGCTGTGTTGAAATCCCCTCCAATTCAGCAAGATATGAGCACTTATGGAGCAGCCCTATGTAACTATATACACATATAGCAAATTGATTCTCACCTTATACACCACATCAATATTGGCAAGATCTACGACATTCATGCCAATGGTGAATAGAGTAGCTATCTCGCCCCATTAGGCTCGATCTCAGTATCCCCTGCTGCTGTACATGGGATATACATTTCTGGCTGCTGGTGCCGCAGCACAGATATCTGCTTCTAGAAACTATAGTCACGGGAGAGATAGGATGCAGGTTGGCATATTTCTGATGTGAGTAGAGCATGAGGGTATGGTGTGTAAGGTAGTGCCCGCGTGTCCTGAATAGGACGCCTGCACCGACAATGGTATGCTCCTCACTGCCGTGATGCTCCAGCTCAGCATTGCTACCGGTGCTGTTGCAGACAAGCTCTTTGCTAGACTTGCCAACAATAATCACTAGGATGTAACTGAGATGCATATTGCCATCTAATCGATACAATATTAAGCCGCCCGGGTTCTTCAAATACTTCAAATTCAACCTCGTTGGGTGTGTCGTATCGTTGCATCTTGCCCATCTATGAGCCCTCCTGGACCATACTAAAAAGGGTGCACAGTTGAATATCTTGGTATGGAAGGGACCTAGTGACGGTGAGGGGAAGCTTATCGACCTCCTTCATGGAATAGAGTAACAACAGCCATGTAGGAGAGCTTGGGTCTTGTCATAGCCACCTTGTAGGGTACAAAATGAAAATGATAACTCAAGCCCTTATCCATACAATATACTCTATCGAACAGTCGAACAGTCGATGGCCCTGTTTGCTATTGAGGGTGTTGGTCTTTTTCACAATACAAGCTTAATCTTGCCTTCATGTCATCTATTTTATGCCTAAAAACATACGTACCTGGGTCTCTTGTATAGTATATGGCTGTCCTCGTTACTCCCCGAGGTGCGCCACCCGCATCAGTCAGTTAAAACAACCTATCGGTGAATTTAGTCCGAACTACTCAACTGTGCATTATCTTGGTAGTTACTCATTATATATGTTTATGTAAGCCTTATATAAAAGTGTTAAAAAGCCAGTCGCATATGTATAGTATAGGCGGATACTGTGTACATAGAGAGCCAAGTTAGTCTCTTGGGCATACACTAAAAAAAAAAAGCCAAACAGCTCCATATTCCCATATTCCGAGTATTGACATGTCATGGGCATGTAAATCTCACGTCTTGGCCGCAGCTATTCGAATTTACTGGTACGTTCGTCAAGAATACCTATCTTTCTCAACACCCCCTCTCCATTGAGAAGATTGCAACTATATATTTAGGAACAACCATCATTCAAGCACCCAACATAGGTTATGCTCGAGTACTCCATATTCCACAACTATAAGACCCGCTCTACGTATAAAGTAATCAACCACCCAACATCAACCCAACAGTATCCTAGAACTCCACCATACGCACTTACAAAATACAAACTTTGGTTCACAGTCCCAGTTTTGTTTTGCACGTTTTGGTATATAGATACTAAAACCAAACTATGACGACATGATAGGGCGGCTGGCCTAATGGTAAGGCGCTAGATTTCGGCTCTAGAGATTGCAGGTTCGATCCCTGCGTCGCTCGATCTTTTTGCGTTTTTTTTTTTTTTGGTTTTCTATTATATCCTAGTTGCATTGTATTGCCCCTGTCTGGTTAGTTTTTGTAAGTAGGGGTATTGGCTAGGCTATGCCGTTGGAGTGAAATAATGATCTCCGTTGATAGCCGCAGTATATACTGATCAGTACAGTTTGCGCAGTACCCTAGGTAGGTCTCGCCTCGGTCTTCTAGTAGGACTACGTCTCGCAGACTCTCCTCGACTGGAGTTGCTTGGGTGAAACTACTACTGGGAACGAGCGGTTGACATTGACCATCGTACATGTCTATCTAGTGTACATTTCAGGGTAGAGTAGAGTAAGATACATTATTTACATATCAGCAGTCCGCCCTGCCGAAATACCGAGGGAAAGATACCACGTCCCGGATGCTGGAGACGCCGGCTAGGTATCCCAGGAATCGGTCAAAGCCGAGACCAAATCCTCCATGAGGCGCAGTTCCCCACCGTCGAAGATCCGCATACCACTGGAGATGGCCCAGGTCTTCGCCGGGCAAGAGGTGAGGGTACATCGGCGTCTCAGAATCGGCTGGTGTTCCCGCTTCCGTTTCCGCACCCGGAGCGGCTGGCGCGCGGGTCTTGATTAGCCCGTGCTCGCGCATGTTCTGGATGATCTTGGGAAGGCGGTGCTCACGGAGCGAGCCCCCTGCGACTTCGCTAACCTCTGGGAGGAGGAGATCAAAGCATGCGACTGTTTCGCCTGGTGCCGCGGAGCCGTCCCCACTGGATGGCAGCATGTAGAATGGCTTGACAACCTTAGGGTAGTCGGTCACGAACACGGGGCGGCCGTTGTGAATCACGTCAACGATGTACTTCTCGTGCTCCAGCTGGAGACCGCCGGTCCATTCGGGTGCATGTTCGAAGGTGGCTTGTCCCTTGGCGACTGCGTCCTGGAGCTTTTCAATTGCTTGTGTGTAGGTCATACGGCCCCACTTGGGTCCCTCCATCATATCATTCCATCGTTGGCTTAGATCAGCACCGGATCCTTCAGTTTGATCTTGACCGGACTCGCCCGACCGCTTTGCGGACAAGATCTCCTGGCCAACAGGTGTGTCATGTAACCGACGAACCAGGTCACGGAGAATATACTCTACGGAGTCGGTCAGCGAGTCTAAGTCATGCATGTAATTCATCTCCGCCTCCAGCATGTAGAACTCGCTAAGATGGCGCGGCGTATCGCTCTTCTCGGCCCGGAACATGGGCGATATCGTCCATACATTTCCTAACTCTGCTGCGTAGGCCTCAAGGTGGAGCTGCGACGACACCGTTAGGTATTTGGGTGCCCGGAAGAAATGCTCGCCCTCCGACTGTGTCCCCATAGCTTCCCGCGGCAGAACCGTGAATGTCTCCCCAGCACCTTCGCAATCCGACGACGTGATCAACGGTGGGTGGACTTGAACGTAGCCCCCGTTCGGGGCGAAGCGAAACACATTTCCTAGCTGGTACATGCATTCGGATCTGAACCGCGAGAGGAGGGAGTTGAATGGTGTGCGCATGCGGAGGTGGGGAATCTGACGAAGGAAGTCGGGGCTGTGGTACTTTTTCTGGATGGGGTAGGTCTGTTCGTAATATGATAGTTAGCTGCATCGCCCTTCGGGTCGTTTGTATAATCTCCAGAAGGCCTCGTCTACCTCAGGGTCTGCACTCCCAAGAACATTCACGTCTGTTGTTTGAAGCTCATGGGTTTGCTCCTTGCCCGGTGGGCAAGCCTTCCAGATTCCAGATATTTCCACAGCAGTTCCAGTAGACAGACTAGAGATACATTGATTAGAGCCCAGTGCTTCGGAATAAATCAAGGGTGGTCAAGCTCAGTAGGAAGGCGGACGTACTCGGCAGCCTGTGCTGGCCTCAAAAAGGCCTGTAAAGGCTCAATTGTAGACCCGTCTGTGATCTCGGCGAACGCAAAGCGTTTCTGCTTTCGGACGGAGCGAATGAACCCATTCAACTTGATCTCTTGATCTTCCAAACTGCAGGGTCCATTCTTGCTTTGCTCAAGGACTTGTGCGCATCGTAAGAGCGTGGGGCCGACGCCCTGGCTTGCAGGTTTATGGCTCAGTCTGGCAACAGACGTAGCGAAGGTTCGCCGCCATGTTCGCATTTCTTGTGGAAAAGGTACCGAGCTGGTTGTGGTGATGTGTTGAGGGCTCTGTTCTGGGGAATGCGCGTGCGCCTAAGCGCTGGAGGACGGCGCGCAAATTAACTTATTTGGCCCGATAAATAACTTCCTGTTATCTCCGCGCCTTTCAAACGAACTCGAAAGACATCTAGAAAAACTGAAGTATACTATATAATTCTGCGCATCCAAATGGTCATAACAAGCCCCGCTAGCTCAGTTGGCTAGAGCGCCAGACTTTTAAAGCAAAAGCCTTGCTGCAATCTGGATGTCAGGAGTTCGAGCCTCCTGCGGGGCGATGTTCTCTTTTTGTCTGAATATTTTTTTGTCTATTTTCCCTTCTTTTTCGCATGGTTATGATTTTTTCTAGTGAACCTATTCTTATTCACTATATATTGGTGAATAAAAAGGCCATAGCCCTTGACGATGGGGGTCATCCAGATCCTTTTCTACCCAACTGCACAGCCCTAGAATCGTAACAGTGCCCTGGTTGTCCATAGCAGATGGGACATGTTCTTCGTTCTCACATAGTACTCTGCCCAGGCGCCTCTTGGATACTTTAGGAAACCTATTGTGCAGTGTCAAATTTGGCTAGTACTGGTCCGATCTTCTGGCATGACAGCCGATGGACACGTAGATCATCTTCTGGACTGGAAGAGCGTCCTTGCATATGGAACCACATCAAGAGTTAAGTTGAATCTGTAAACCCAGGCAAGGCAGTCGAACAAATCTTGATGGTTTGCTCACAGAGTGCCCGTTGATTTGAATGCAAAGATATCTGGTATGTTGGAAGCATGGCTTCCGCCTGCGAAAACCCTCTAGATTTCTTCCAACCTTAGCAGGAATGCTGCATCTCTATAGCCAAGAGGCTCATTGGAATAGGCTAGCTGTCACACTAGGCCCCTCGGGGCCTTGCATCCACAGGTGGTGCTACCTGTAACAATGGGGACGCTGCTAGGCTCAATATTGTTATCCGAGGCTGATCCAGCAACAGAAAGGCTGTGCTCATCAGAACCTTTCATATTGGCATCACTAGTATCCTCCTGTGGAGTAGGCGTCGCCTCTAACCTGGGTAGCATAGGTGTTTGTCTCATAGGTAAGGGCAGGTGTAATAGAGAACGCCTCTGTAGTTCTTACATCGGTATCTCTTGTTCCGCAAAGGAACCCATCAGATCCAAAAACGGGCTCCAGTTCCATGACGTCTGCATCACAGATCATAGTAAGGCTTAGGGCGTTTAAGACTTTCAAGACGTCGCTGTGATTTATGTCTTCTAGCCGAGGACTTCCTTTCTTAGCTTGGCGAAGGCGACTAAGAATCTCGTTGTTAAGGGCACGCTGGACATCTATGGATTGTGTGTTGTTGTGGATAATCTTTGACACTCGATCAGCCATCGACCGGTTCCTGATGTATGCAAAAAGCATCGCGCATTTAGAAGGAGCCAAAATGATAAAATCAGCGATATACGCCATAGATCTTTCTTGTACAGCTTCTTAAGCGGGATCGCCTCTCTCCACTCGTCCTGAAAGACATCAAGAATGTTGATAGTGCCAAGAACCGAGATGGTCCGCTTTCCGAGGGAAAATATGCTATTTTCAGACGCGTGGGAGCGCAGAGGACATAGGGCAGACATCTTAGAGCACGATATCTTGGCTGCCGGTGTAGTTTGATGTGATGAACGAACCCGAGATACGAAGGTAGAATGCGATGCACAGGAGGAGGGATACTGAAGCAGATAGAGATGAGGCAGAGGCAAAGAAATGAAGAAGGCAGGTGAATAAAGAAAAGGGCTTACTACAGCAGGCTCTTTGAGTTCTTAGATACAAAAAATATAGCAGTGTTCACACATCTCGGTCCATAATGACACACCACACTGCTGCGAGAATGGCGAGGGACAAGATTCCCAGGCTCACATAGAGGCAGTGTGCGTTTCCCCTCGAAGTCTGTAATCAACTGCCCAGAAATGTTAACCCCTGGTCTCCTATACTTCACGTTGGTATACTATCAAATGCAGATAATCTAGATTCTAGTTACTAGTACTCTGTAGTGAGCCAACCAGAGTGCAAAGCCTACCTTCAAGATATCCCCTTTAACTGTGTCTTCTTGAACGTCAATGGCACAAATCTATCTCTAACCCTCAGTACACTCTGCCCAAGGAAGTTTTTTGGCACTGGACGTATGTTTCCTACTGATTCCTGCATAAAATAGATACCACTAGGTTGGTACAATATAGACAAGGGCCAGCCTTTAGGGTCAGAGAAGACAAAATAATTCTTTCAGTAATTCTCTATCCCTTACGAACAAGATACCAGGTTACATCTTATAATGTTAATCTCGCGCATTACAGACTCGTTTTCTTCCTGGCTCCTCCTCCATAGACGCCTTTGTCAGAGAGATTTCTCGGCTGAAGCTCGTAGCGAGGGCAACATCGCAGTATCATAGTATGCGCTATACAAGTAGTACATTGGGAGAAATGGGACAATATAAGATCACCGACTGCATCTCAGGAAAAGGGGGTTAGTAAGGTGGAATTCAGGTCATTATTGACTGATGTACTCCGTAAGTACTTGGTACCTTCGGCTAAGTGCTGAGACTAATAATGTCAACGGGCCAGATCCGCTCTGAATGGTACCTTGACCTTTCTATATCAAAAGGCTACTAGCCTACTACAAGTCTACAACCAAACGTATTGGCCTTTGTCTCGCTTTCTGCTTTAGCCACCGCCTGCCATTTACACGTATAAATTTGTCCTCGAAGCTCCAAGCCTCCAACTTCTCTGCAGTACATACCCCCATTCCCATTCAAATCTCTTGTCTTGTTTACGCTATGCCACCTGACAGCGCAGATACAACTTATATCAACGCATTTCATGTTGCGTGTAGCAATGGTGATCTGCCGAAAGTCCGGGAGGCCCTCACCAGCGGGCGACTCTCTGCTGAGCCTCTTAACACCGGACTCTGTCTCGCCATCCAAGCGGCACATCTGGATATCGTGGCGGCGGTCTTCGATGCCGGCGTACCCATAACACCCGGCGCAGTAGGCTCTCTTTGCGGGGAGAAATACCATCAGGACCCGCGTATAATTCGCCTCTACTTTGACCGTGGCCTGAAACCTAGAAAATGTACCACGTACCTCGGCGAGCCTCTTCTCCGGTACGTTGATGGCCAGTTGAGTTAACCTCTGATTGTAAGACTAACTTCTAGGGAATATAGCTTTTTGAATGCTGCCTGTGCTCGCGAGTTACTGGAGCGAGGCGTTGACCCCAACCGTTGCGGCCCAAAGAAGACAAAACCCCTGGCCAGCGCTCTTGAACAGGCCTACGAAGACAACGGAGCTTTGTTCGACCTGCTCGTTGAATACGGCGCTAAGGTAGAATCCAGTCTCTTCTTTTCCGCTATTTGTTGGAGCAGGTCGAGTACAGTGTTCAAAACTAGATTCCTTCTTGCCAAAGGTCTCGACCCGAACACGACCTCCGCGGACTGGGGCACGCCTTTACACTGTGCTGTCCGTTTCGCTATGGAAGACGTAGTTCACATACTACTAGACGCGGGCGCAGATCCTACGGCACGACCGGGGTGCAAACAATTCCGTGACAGAAGCCCTGCGGAAGTAGCCGAGTTACTCATACAGGTCAAGGATCCCAGCAGCCAGGTCAAGTATCAGAGTATACTCAAACTCCTTGTAGCTGCAAAAGTCAGTCACACTAAATCTACAGCCGCTTTGTCTAACAATCTGACCAAGCATAAGCATGCAACAAACTCGGTACAAGCTAATATAGAGAAGCCAAGTGCCGGGGATACTACAGAGCCTATAGCAAAGAGACAGAAAACCAATACCCAGCATACTGCCGTTAAGAATACTCCGATAGGGGATATTTCTCAGAATAGTATTAGCAGCCGAACACGAAGTCGTACCAAGTTGTCTCCTAACTAGATCTACTGCGGTTAATAGCTTGTTTCGCGGTAGTAGAGCAGGGTAGTAGGTTGGCTATACAGGAAATATAAGCTCCTTCAGTCTTACAAGCAGTCAGATATTATTCCTTTGTACGGGGTATACTTCAGCTTGCTGCAGCGTAACTAATTGTCCTGAATACTCCGAGTGCCTGCTATTCCTTTCCTCCTTTCTACCACTGATTCGCCAGGATTCGTTCCGTTGTACTATGTCGGTTTTTGATGGTTTCTCCTTGGGATATATTATACATGAGACGGCAATGGAATATAGACCATTGTCGACAGTTGATCACACCAAATCCCGCATATGGCTCACCATTTGTCCTCGTGGTAGTTCCGGCCTTCAACCCACAACATAGCCCATAGCTGAGTTTGCAGCCCCCCTCCTCCCATGTCCTGAGCTCGGTCAAATTTGAAGAGATTCCTTCCTCTGACTGCATCTTCTAAGAAGAGTTCTGGGTCTTCTTCCACCGTCTCGTACGCAATGTCTCTCCAGCGTGATTGGTCTTGCAGCATGGGCACCAGCTCGCCGACAGTGTCACGGATCTGATTCCACTATATGGTGTAGTCGGCAGCATTTGGATCTGCTGCCAACTGCCGGAAAACCTTGGCTGGGTGGATAAGATAAGCGCGGAAGTCGTTCTCGATCAGGTCGGCGTCGAGTTTCCTGTGGTATTTCCCCCCGTCTCTCAGTATATCAGTGACAGTGAGCTTGAACAGTTCAGCGTTTGTTTGGGTCGGTGGATCCCGCCATTCTATTTCCGGGTCGAAGGAGATATTCTCCCACCAGTGGGTCGCATATACTGCCTTACAGCTGATGATATACAAGGTGGTGTACCCCTTGGGCCCGGTGCTCCACTCCTTCCTCTGCAACCAGCCGAATTCCTGCAGGGTTGCTGCGCTCATCCAAGTCACATGAGGGGCGGAGTCGCGTGTGTGTCACGATCGGTCTCGAAATCTTGGGGAGCTCTTGCTCGTAGAATTTCCCCAGCGATTCTTCCGGCAGCTTCATTGATTTTGCTAGACTGGCGTATGGCTAGGTTCTGTTGTCGTTATTTGAGCAAGGAAGAAGCAGAATGGAAATGCTAAGCGAGGGGTTCGAAGACGATGGTCGCTATGCAGAGATCTAGAACCTAGTGACGACGACCTGGTGGATCTCTTACAGATCTGGCAGCTCCTTGAATTAGCGGCTGACTATTTGTCGTTTATGGCCTGCATTGATCCACGAGATATCCTGCAGTCGATTCTTCCACCTGCAGCTTCAGCGAAAAAACAAGCGGGGGCAATAGTTCTTCTGAAGACGTAGTCCTTTATTAGTGCACAGGTTCGTGATGGTCTATTCGGTCTGCGTTGACTTGTGCATCGTGCGACTCAAAATTGGATGAGGGTAAACAGGACTCTTGATATTGTAGTGGGGTGACACCCCCTACCTATCACATGATCCCATATCCTTTGTGCATATATTAGGTAGCCACTCGCCATAACTTAGAGGAATCAGGCAGGTTCTCCATTCTTCCACAAGACCGTACCAACCGGTAGTGTAGGAATGTATGTGCGACTACGTGATCAGCGAACATCGGAATGAGATAGAGTAGCGGTACGACCGACGCACCCGCTTTACAATAATTGGGCAGAAAGAGCAGCATGCTAGCTAAACAATGTCTTCCCTGATGGTGACCATACTAGTATGCTCACCGCTGCAAATCTTAGATCTTGCGTTCAGTAGTTGGGCGGTACTAGAGGGATAATAGTAGTAGTACATACACTACTTTATAGATTAGAGAGGCAATGTATACGTTCAAGTAAAAAGTGTTTAGATATAGATCGTCGAGCCATTCCATGGAGTATATGTTAATCTACGGAGTAGAATATCGGGTTCAACTGGTCGGTGTGGCTAGGCATATCATGGCCTGAACCAAGAGCGGGAGTGTGGCGGCAATTGTTAGACTTTCTCTCATATAGGCAGAATGTGAAGAAATTCACATCCACCGCCCGGATGGTCTAGTGGTATGATTCGCGCTTAGGGAGAAACCCAAGCATTGACTGCGCGAGGTCCCCGGTTCGATCCCGGGTTCGGGCCTATCTTTTCACTTATTTTTGTATTTTAAATACCTCTGTCTCATTGTACTAATATATCGAGCAAATTGCGTCGAAGGACTTGCTCATTAGGGTTGTCAGAATATGATCCCGTAATTAAGGTACTTCTTCGGGTGGTCCGCTGGTCTGTAACCCTGATTTCGCCGTCCATTCATTCATTCATAGGCAGCTGGGCCTCCGCCATACACTCGTGAAGCTTAGATCTACGCACTTTCATAGGAATATACCGGCACGGATGGCCGAGTGCCAAAGGTGCGAGATATCTAGCCGTTTACCGTGAAAGGCCGCGTATGGCGTTATATCGACGCCTGAGCTTCACGGTTCCTTAGACGAAAAGTCAACGTCGACTAATAGCTGAGGCCAAATAGAGTTTAGAAATTGCATTTCAAACATAACGCCGACGAGGGACTTGATAAGATAGCGATTACGCACTTCCGCACCGCCATTCAGCTCCAGAGTGTGAGCTAGCTAGGTCCCAAACGATACTTCGACCTTTGCGATATGCTTGCCGGTGTTTGTTGCTATGTATGGACTAGACTCGGTAATCTTTTCCCGCTTGAGATATGCATCTAGCCACTTGGGTAGAAACCTCGAAAATCTCGTCATTCGACTTCAATAGAAAAACCCAGCAAAATCCACTAGCATCGTCGATAAAGGTGGCGTAGTAGCGGAAACCTCTGAGTTTTTGCATTCAAACGGGACCGCTAGTATTATCAATATGCAAGCGCTTACTCGGCTTAGTACGAGTACGGCTTGCCCATCAAACAAGGCAGACAGTTTATAGATATTGTTGTACCGTTCTAGATAAAACGGTCCTCGCAAGCGTGACAGGCGTGTCGGCATGCAACTTCCATTGAGATTAGAGTCAATGTACGCTAAGTTGCCACCGTAGAGGTGTCAGTAGAGGCATCAGTAGTCAGCTTCAGCCACAAATCGTGAGTGTTAGTAACGAGCAGCTTAGCGGCACGACAGCTAACTGATCGTAGCTCGTGGAGTGAAGCCAGTACTAGCCTCGCGATAGTGCACCGCACGCTAATGCACAGTGGTCCCACTGAGCTTTCAGAATCGCAAATTCAATGCTAGTATGTGTCTCAACTCCAGTCTGCGTTAGTTCGGGGCAATAAATGAAACTTTGGGCTAATACTGACACCAGCCAGACTCTCGACAGCGTCAAGGTGTAGCCTAAAGCACCTCCAATAACAACGTCGGGCTTGACCTCGAAGGTAACATCCCCGTAGTCTCGGCAAAGACTGGATACATATCTGCCAATACCACAAGCAGTCTGCAATCCGTGAATTTGATGGAATTAGCTCTAAATGATGTTGAATTGTCTGAAACTCCGGAACCTAGTATGCAGAAGTTTCCCCCTTCCTTTGATGTCAACTGCAACTTGAGATGTAGATAAACTGCCAGCTGTAACACGGAAGTAGAACTCGGCATTGACTTTGATTGCTGATTCATTGTTAAGAAATGAGGCCATATAAGAATTGATGTAGCAGAAGCCTTAGCGGCAGTTCTTGGCTTAGGGCTGCGTAAGACCTTACGACAGTTAAAACTGTACTAAAACGACTCCTAGCTGGCATAGTAAACTGTAAGGTTGCAGTTCGACCGCGATCTCGGCCTCTACTGTTATCTCGACTGATTGATGGTGAATTCGTATTTGTATTGTGGTGGTCGTCGCCCTTGCCGATCCGTACGTACGGTTGGTTGTTTGTGTCTCATTGCCGCTTAGTTCTTTGTTTACTACTACTACTGTGGCCTCGATTGTCTCTGTCAGACTTGTCAAACCTGTCGATCGTTGCAGTTATCGATATGAAGGGCTGGGAGTAGCCGAAGGCAGTAGGGTTATAGTGCAAAAGCGAGGGTCATTCCCTATACAAGAAGGGCCGAGATGGTATTAGGAGTTGACTGGGTCTATAGAAGGTAGCCTAACATCCTGGTGGATGGCAAAAAAGATAGGCCCGAACCCGGGATCGAACCGGGGACCTCGCGCAGTCAATGCTTGGGTTTCTCCCTAAGCGCGAATCATACCACTAGACCATCCGGGCGGTGGATATTAATTTCTTCAAATTCTGCCTATATGAGAGAAAACCAGGTTATAGTACTGCGGCATTTGTATCTGATAGTTACTATAACTATGGAAATTGTGAGACTAACAGCCTGTGTGTTTAGTTTATCAACTACTAGTTAACTAAGTGCCAAATTCCTTATTTAGGCACTCACTGTGCTCCTACCAGTGTTAACTTCTACAGCAGTGACTGCCTGTATAAACTACAGTCATCGCAATTTCAGTGCCGGACAGTGCGGGAAGCCTTTCTCACCAAGCTGTTCTTGATCATAGTACTACTCATATTGAATGTGACTCTAATATTGGTTAAGGAAGAAGTCCTTGTCAGGTTAGATCATCCAGTAGCACGAGTTAATAATGCTGAGAAGTTATCTTGGCTTCATTTTACATGTAGATTATTTGTGTGTCCTTACAAAGTCTACCTTACTGCTCTGAACTCTTTCTTACTTCCCATAGTGACTGTAATGTAGACACCTCAGCCCATCAAAAAGAATTCTCAAAAACACGCGATTTGCATTAATCTCCCACACCCTCAGAAATCACACAACAGGGCTGAAATCAAAGCCACAGAAAGATCCCATTATAACTTAAAACTCTTGAAGATCTGAGAGTCGCATGACCCTGAAATCTAATTGCACCCTACTAGAGCGCCCCAGCCCCCATAGGATAGGATTAATGCAGAATAACCACCTTAATCACATTAAAATTTAGTGTGAGGGTGGGTGATCTTCCAACAGGACGAAAGTTTTCCTTTTATGCATTTTTCGAGGTGTTGTTATTGTTGCTGGCACTGTCATCCTCGGTATCATCGCTTGGTCTTGGGCGGTTGGCTCTATGATCTGATTAGCTGGACCCAAGCCGGCAAACCTTGTAACCTTGCACTTGGATACAGGATTTTTAACATACGCGAGCTTGAAAATGTCTTTGCCAACATCCTTCAGAAACGTCAAGGATGACTTTGTCGCCTTCTTGGCAGCATTCCCAAATGCTTCCACAGCCTCTTTAGACGTATGCTCGGTTTGGTACACAAGCTAGGCAAGTAACTCGTCGTCAGCCTTACATGCGAGGACCCACTGGCTGTCAACTTCACATAAGGACTTATACACATTTGACCCATGGATGCTAGGGTAAAAGCGGGTCTCGTCCCTCGCGCTGGTGACAACCACGCTGCGTGGGTTTGTGTCGGGCACTCGCCATGATCCGCTTGTCAGTGAAGAGGTACCTACCACATATTGATAGACAACCGAACTCGACATTGACAGAGACCAGACTTGGCAGGTTTCCTCCCAAGTACCGCCGTTGCTGCCGTTATCATGCTCCGTATAAGTAGACTGCCCACCAAGATGGTACTACAGCCAGTCGTCCAGGGAAGATGTTAATTGCACATCCTTGAGTGACATCTGTGGGTGTGGCTCGACAGTCCGAGGACTTGCGTGTTTGCACGTCTCTGGACAATTCCACCACCTGGTACAACTGACTCCTTACACGACATCTGAAGGGTAGCCTTGATGGAATAGTCGTATTCAGACTTCAGCTCATAATTTGGCGCATCGCCGTAGAACTGAATGGCGGCAGCAAGCGTTACGAAATGTCAAACTTGTCAATAACTTCATCGTGAGTTTCCATGGTCGGGAATGAAATGAGTTTGCCTAAGACCTGCTCCACAACCCAGCTCTCTGTCAGTTTATTGACATGTCCCCCAATGGATGAAGAGTGCCTGGCCTGGATTTCATGTACGATTAATACGAAAAGGATTCATTATAGAAGATAACAATAGGAGCGGACAGACAGAACATATATGCATTGAGAGGATGGAGCCGATTGGCCATCAATAGTGGATTAGTTATATCAAGCAAAATAGGAGGAGATTTCCATGGAGCTCCACTGGTTCGTGGGTGAGTAATTATATCCACTAGTTGAGTAGTCTAATACTGCAAGGAGCTAAATCCCTATCTTCAAGTGGATATTCGCTTAGCCAGCATCTAACCTTTATTTTACTCAGCTGAGATTTCTTAATAGTACTAGGTTGCTGGCTCCGATCAGAGTTGATTGGAGACTTAGCGGCCATTTGCGATCAAAGTGGTTGTTGTGCATGTACCGAACGGGATCTAAAAGCGGCCCGATGGTGGACCTGGATTACAGGCGATCAGCCGACGATCGGAGCTTGCCCTAACTCGGCCAAACCCACTAATTCCCAATGACGACACCCAACCTGCGACTATTACAACTTGAATATACATTTCTCCTATACTCGATAATAACTAGAAAACACAACAATCACGCGTATACTAATACATAAACCATAAATAATACAAGAAGATACCATCCAATTTTGAAAACTTTCACATCAACATAACCAACGTGGGATGCCCACGAACGGTCAACCCCAATTCAATCCCATCAACCCCGTCCCCTCAATACATCCAACATACTCACACTGCATATCTTTCCCCTTCAAGATGCTCGTCTCAACCCACAAGCGCAACTGCCCAGGCAATTCAGTCATCACACCCTTCGGCCCATAACTCTGCGCGAACTCGCGTCGCAGCTTAACATGCCCTGCATTCTCCCTCCCGAATTTTTGCATTGCCTCCATATCCAAGAAATAGAACAGCTGTACCTTGTCGTTGAAGCTCAACTCCCGCGGCTGGGGATCGGCGTCCTTGTACGTCCCACTGTCGGGGCGGTAGCATAATCTCGAATCCAAAATCCCCTTTTCTGGGCCGGCTTCGACTAGATCGCATATCCAATTTGTTGTTAGCTGGTCGAAGTTCTCGAGCCAGTGCTCTTTTTCCTCCGGGAGGATAAGACCGTGGTCTTGACCCTCGACTACAAATGCTATGTTATCCGGTAGAGTGGGAAGTTGGATTCTTCCTCTGCGGATGGGCAGATTGCTGCTGTTGCTGCTGCTGGGCGTAATAGACAATGGATGTGTCCTGGTCGGCTTCTTGGTGACTGGAGTGGGGAGTTTACTCTCCCTCTTATTGACCTCACTCATCCGATCATAGTAGCACCCCCAGTACCCCGATTTATCAAGAATTGACTCGAATTTACCCAAGGGTGCCATGCCAGATGGACGGTCTGTGATGCTCGTTCCATGTTGCGTCTTGCCAGGCGGCACAGTGAGAATATCGCGGTACACGCCGGCGTCGTCAGGGAGGGAGCCCCAGAACGAGGCGACAGGCTCACTGGTCCACCATTTCTGATACGCGGCGGTGGAGGGCCAATATGTGAGCCAGACGCGGGTTGGGACGGGGTTGTCCTGTTCGAGGTTTTCAATGCGGGCGGGCTGGTTGACTATCAGGCTGTCAAAGATGTTTATGAGGCCAGAGTTGTCCCTGGAAGGGTCGTGTTGGATTCCAAAGACCGCGGTGACAATGGGGGTTCCTGCGGGTAGTTTTACTCCCCACATTTTGAATATCAAGTAATCGTTATTCTGTGAGAAACACCAGTGTATTATGTTTGATAGACACTTCGTTGGTCAATGAATTGCATCGGGTATTAAACCCCTTTTATACTATAAACTCCTAGCTACTTGTAGACAAATTTGACCTTTGGCATAGTATAGATTCAGTACTCCGGAGTAGATTCCCGCTAGTGCGATTCCGCATATTTCTGCCTTTGACATGGTGGAGGTTTGGTAGGTTTCAGCCAGCGCGATTCCGCAGGTTTCCGCAGGGGTCAGTTAGTTAGTTATTCTAGGCTCTACGGCCTTCCAGCCTACCCGCTTGTATCTCCAAGGTTTGGTCTAGATCATTACTGCTGTTGGGTAGATGCGTCAATTCCCAAGGAAGGAAGAAATTTGTTTCACAATTCGGTCGAGTCATTGAGAATGAAGTGGAGACAAAGATTATGATCTCTGCCTTAGCTTTCCATGGTTTAGTGAAATAATTCGTAATGCCGTGCAAGTATAACATTACGTAGAGACGGAAACGAAAGAGTAGGCCCGAATGGTAAGTTAGAGCCCTCTACTGTATCTTGCCTATATCGATCTCCAGTTTCTCGGAGGCGGCTGACGCGGAGTGCGGATGTACATACCAGAAGCATATATCTCGATTACGAAGGTGGCGCCCTTCCGGCCACAGTGAAGCAATTGATACCTTTATATATATTCACAGACAAGGACCCTTTGCCACCGGGCCAAACACAACATTTATTCTACTATGAGTGCACTATCGCTCAGTCGTGGATCATCGATTGATAGAAGTCTCAATATGAGAAATACACGGAACATTTTTGAAGGCCTCGTGGCGTTTCCTATTACTCCTACGGATTCGCATGGCATCGTCAATACTGCCACACTCGGGCGAATTATTGAGAGGCTGGATATTCCGGGTGTTGATTCGATTGGATTGTTGGGGAGTACGGGGACCTACATGTATCTGACAAGAGAGCAACGCAAGCGGGCATTGAACGCGGCCATACAAACTCTGCAAGGCAGAAAACCACTTATTGTTTCTGTTGGTGCACTTCGTACAGGCGATGCACAGCAATTGGCCAAGGATGCTGAAGAAGCGGGCGCCGATGGGCTGCTACTTGCACCTGTCTCATACAATCCGTTGAGTGAAGAGGAAGTCTACCAGCATTACGAGTCGATCACTGGTTCAACCACGTTACCCCTCTGTATCTACAATACTCCGAGCACGACGCACTTTACCTTCAGTGACACACTTCTTGCTCGCATTGCAGGGCTGCCAAATGTCGTTGCGCTTAAGCAACCCGCCCCCGCTTCTGAGGTGACAGAAAGACATGAAGCACTTCGCGCAAAGCTTCCGTCTGGCTTTTCTATCGGATACAGTGCGGACTGGCTGGTGGCTGACTCGCTTTTGGCAGGAGGCTCTGCATGGTACAGTGTGATTGCGGGAGTACTCCCCGCACAATCAGTCGCGCTGATGGCTGCCATTCGCAAAGGAGACGATATCGAAGTGAGGCGTATCTCGGCTCTTTTTCAGCCAATGTGGGACCTATTTGAAGAGCTTGGTGACCTCAAGGTGGCTTTCGCACTGGCTAACGAGCTTGACCTTTGCAAAGCAGCGCCCCCTCAGCCTATTCTCCCCATAGCTGCTTCACATCACAATCGGATTCGCTCTGCGTTGGCGACGCTGAATGAAGGCATGAAGGGGATGCCTTGGAAAATATGAAGCGAGCTTAAGAGTTCTCAAGGGGCTGACCGATATGATTACAGAGGCAAAAGCTAGGAACTAAGAATGTGCGCATATGGCATTCAGAGATTGGTGAGGAGATCAAGTAGATAGGTCTGTAGAGATTATGGGAGAAAAGAGTGTTCCCCTTATGTAGGTCTTAAGCTTTATATGATGATATCAAGTGCCCGGATGGTCTAGTGGTATGATTCGCGCTTAGGGCTCACCCAAAGCATCGCATGACTGCGCGAGGTCCCCGGTTCGATCCCGGGTTCGGGCCTATGTTTTTTTGTACATTCTAACTAGTATTTTGGAGTACTATAATTGAAGTTCCCTAGTTTCCCGGGTCCAGAATTTCTTTCTCTCTTTTTTAGTCTGTTACTTTGCATTCAATGAATGGATCTGTGTGTTACAGCACTTGTGAAAGAAGTTTTAAGTCCGAATTCATTTGACTGAGTATTGTTGCTGTTGAACTGCCTATATAAGCCCAGGGAAGGAACGGATATATTTGCAGTGGATTCAGTGCGGTGGGTAGAGGCATTCTTGTAACATGCATGGTTAGATCTGGGACCTGATCTGTTACTCTCCTCCGATTCCAAGTATAAATGTGCGTCCAATTCTGCTATTGATGGGGCTGTCAGCGGGTTGTTCGTAGCTGATGTGCTACCGAATCTCATGGGTAAGACCAGCATAAGACTGCATCAAGTCGTTTGACCATTAAGTATCTGGGTACTTACTGCCAGATTAGGGCCTGCCTCGAGGAAACGGTAGTATTTAACTACCTAACCAAACAATGATTACCATCAACACTAGGTTGGACCACTAAATAAGCAAAGAAGCACAACTATTCTGATAGCCTTTAGTATTGATCCTACCAAGTGACCCTACCCAAGGATTAGGGTGGGCCTTTCGCGGGGGTTTAGAGAATATAGAGATTGAGTAAACCCAAGCAATGTATAAGAGATATACCCCCGGCACTATATTCCACAAGACTAAAAGGTCAGATAATTCTGGACCAACGATCCAGAATGCCCTGCGGTCACCTAAATAGTATACCGCCATTACACAATGGTCAATTCTAATGAGCTATGCCCCCCATCCTCTCCTTTTATCACTATCGTTCCATCTAACATGATTTATATATCCCTTATTATGATAAAAGCACCATATCCTACAACAATATCATAATCAAATTGGTCTCCCCTTCTCCATAGTTTTACTCCCAGGAGCTTTCCCCCCTTCTTGGACTTGACTCCCGCAGCTATTGTAGTAGGGTGACACCCCCTACTTATCTCATGATCCTGTATCGTACATATATTAGGTAGCTGTTTGCTATAGCCGAGAGGAATCGGATAAGTTCTCCATTCTTTCATGGACTATAGTAGTAGTAGTAGTAGTATAGGAATGTACGTGCGATTACGTGAGCAGCAAACATCCGAATGAGATGGAATAGTGGTGGTGACCGACACACCCGCTTTACACGATATTAACAGTAGTCTTCATATATCACCGAGCGCCCTGGCCGATGTTGGCGCCCATGTATCGCTCCTCGAATGTGTGAAGCACAGTGCAGTCTCTGAGACCTCTAGCCTCCCCCATATCGGGCTCGTGTCTTTTCCAGTATACAATGACGTCTCGATGCCAGCAACACACGTTATCCGAGCTGCGTTCAACTCAGTATGCTCTGTTTCCGTAGAACCCGACCGGAGGGGCTGCAGATCGTCTATAATTTGCGAGGGTATGGATCCTTTATAGCTGGACTTACTAACGCAATATCACATCGCGGGATGCGCTGCGAAACCTAGGCAAGACAGTACAGTTTACTTCATATTCCGTATAGTATAGAATGTTGGGGTGAAATGCCTAATCGGCTTATTGTTTTAACTACTCCATACGTAGACAGGTATGAATAATATTGTTGTGGGCCGCTAGGCCAACCAGGGCTATGGCTATGATCTAAGCGCATGGCCATGGGGTTTAGATTTAGGATGTCTAGCTTATGTGGTGAGTGGGAGTGCGCTTCCTAGGCTAAATTCGTAGCCGTCTCTGGAAGGTAAGAAAAGGAGGTAAAGAGGGAGCGAAAAGAGGTAAAGAGGTAAAAGAGATGACAAAAAGGGGTAACAAAAGGAGGTAAAGAGGGAATAAAAAGAGGGGCGAAAAAAGAAGGCCCGAACCCGGGATCGAACCGGGGACCTCGCGCAGTCATGCGATGCTTTGGGTGAGCCCTAAGCGCGAATCATACCACTAGACCATCCGGGCTGCAGATGTCTAGTTTTCTTGAATTAAGCCTACATGAGGGGAGGTCTTATAACTGTAGTGATTTTATCCTTGTTTGCTTTGCTTTTTTTACAATAACAGCCCCCCCTTCCTTCTTTGCGATTCTCCTGCTACCTTAATTTATCGTTGATGTGGACTTGCTACGCCCCTAGCCTAGTGCTGAATTCGCCCCCTCAATCAAAGTTCAACACGGGATCGATAGCTAAAGACAGACGATTTAACATCATCACCAAAACGACTAAAACATTCACTTTCCGGCCCAGAGAGATTCCCCGGTAGTTCAATCAAGTATCACATATAGGACACAGTAGATCATGTTAAAATTGCTACCGACAGTTCTTCTGCTGGGGAAGATATAGCGCAGATTTAATATGTCCTCAACCCCAACTTGAAGGTTCGAGCAATGGTGCCTCCACAGCTTGCAACCGCTCGCGATAATAATATACACGAATATAAAACGATCCTTAAGCAACTCCGGCTGGTCTATAACAATCCAGAGGAGACTCAAGAAGGTAAGAACTGTCTACTCTCAATCGAGCAGGACACCGATTCCTTCCAAAGTTTGCGGCTTATATTGCAAGGTAAAGGGATTCTCTACTCCTCAGCATTCCGCAAAGGCCTCAATAGTAAATTCGACAGTTATCTATAGTACCAGCTCGAATTTATGTATACATATTCGGAATTCCTTGAGACCGTACAATGTAATGGGCCAGAGCCCAGCAGTAAATGTCGGCGCTACCTGCGCTGTAGCGACTTTTCATTTTTACTGGCGTGATTGACGATGTTAGTTCATGCCTATCATATATATAGTGGTCATAGCAATGCCTTCTAGCCGGTTGTACTACATGCTATATCTCTTTTAAGCCGGGTAAAGTGGGATTGATATACAATCTTATACCACCCAATCGCCGCCAACCATATAAGTAGGCAGCAAATACAATTCGAATTAGAAACACTTATCATGGCGGACATACTGTACTACGATAAGAATACAGGCTCTGTTCAACAAAATAACGCAAGGAGGAGGAGCGTCGTATAACAACGAAACAAGCACAGCAAACAAACCAACCTCTATATTCACTGCCATGACACTCCCCCCCATTGAATAATCCATCTAGTAGCCCCATTAGATGGTGGGAATAATAACAGAAAAGTAGGAAAATGAAGAAAATGCTTCCCACGACAGCCTTGCAATCACAGCATCCATCGTTGGTTGGCACATCATATCATCATCGCCGCACTCCAAGGTATGGAGAATTTTCTGGTGTACAGTTGATTGGTGCATCTAAGAATGAATGCTATAGAGAAACAAAAATGAAAGTAAAAAAAAGAAGGCCCGAACCCGGGATCGAACCGGGGACCTCGCGCAGTCATGCGATGCTTTGGGTGAGCCCTAAGCGCGAATCATACCACTAGACCATCCGGGCAGTAGACGTCTAGTTTTTCTTGAGCTAAGCCTACATGAGGGAATTTTTAACGACCACTGCAATTTCAAAACAGCTAATCTTACATACACCCAGGTTCATGAGTTTATCTTGTACCTCTAGTGCTTTCATTCACCGGTCAAATTCAGCCAACAGACGAGCAAAGTGTCAGATAGCTGGGATACATCAAGGACATTTATAGCATGGCATTGCAAGCAGCACAACCGATTGTGGAGCAGACGTAGAAGATACTCTAGATATCAAACCTCAGTGATAGTGAACATGCAACCTAGGATAGCTGTGATATCACGAGCTCAGCCTCGCAGAACATCTGAGACTTGCTCTCTGTGGCGGAGCGAAACGCAATATTCCGGAGCATATTCAAGAGCCTACATCTAGTATTCTCCATGTCAGATACCCGTGGCCAAGAACCGGACTTTTAAATGATAGCGTTGATTGACTGGAATTGGGTGATTATTGTGCTTTTCTAAAATATGAAACACTGCAAGTTCCTGGGTCCTAGAAGTTGCATCCTTGCTGCAGGCAGCACGGACTAGGTTTAATCTTTAAATCCACTATCATATACTTTAAAAGCTTTTAGTATAAACTAGATGAGATTCAAAAATAGATACCTCCTCCATAGTAGACAGAGCTCGGTAGAAATTCTGGACGGTTTCTATTGTGAATGCTTCCTTAACTTGACCTATTATATTTCATGTATGAGTCTATCAAAATTTGAATCTTTCAGCTACACTTTTTATATTTAGGAGAGAGCAGGTAGCGGGGATATAGCTCTAAGTGCATTGTGTGGAGATTCATCAGGCATCTGAATATTCACCTGAAGGCCCCAGAACGTGAGTGGCAAAGCGTGAGAAAAGTTGTGTGCTGTTGTATATCTTTTTATTTTCTGTATCGTCATACATATAGTTACCCTTGACTCTACCCCTTGCTTATCCTAGGCATACAATAGAGTCTACAAGATTAATCCTGGTGAATAGTTCACAAAGGGAATAAGATTTTGAAATCGAATTGTTAATATAATAAGTAGCCCACCTACACCAGAGCAGTACCACAGTAGAGGAGAACATAGCAATCATTCCTGAACACCAAACTCCCGACGAAGTACAAACCAAGAAATAGAAATATGGGCAAACAGCTAGTAGCAGACTTTACTTCAGATAGTGAGATCGTTCAAAAGTAATACAGCAAAAGAATGCAGTCATCACCTCACTGATCCTTGTTGCTCGTAAGCCTTCCGCTCTTCCTCAATCATCTCAATAGCATCTGATACCCTGCCAT